TTATTCTGTAGGATCACAGTCACACACCTTGGATTATCATTGTTGCAAAATATCTAGAGAAATGGCTCAGTGAGGTACAGTACATCTTTCTGTTTAGTATTGGTCTGATAAAGACATCATCACTCATGTGTATTCATGTGTTTTTTTAATGTTGCTGAACAATAAATTCTCGTCCTTTGTCCTTGTAGCACAACTGTCAGCCACCCAAAAATTACAAGGAGAAAGAGGCATTCAGACAAATCATTCGTGAAGGTATCAGTGGACCTCTAGATTGCAGTTCAATGACTTGTCTGTGTAACTCAACCCTATCTGTGATTGATTATTATGTTGTGTCTCTTCAGGGATCCTGAAGAATGAGAATGGTGTCCCAGAGGATGAAGAAAACTTTGAGGAAGCTATTAAAAATGTCAATACAGCTTTAAATCCAACCAAGGTACCAGATCTCAAATACTCATTTTATTTTTAAGAGCGATCTGTTGTCCCACGCAAAATATCTAATCTTATAAACCCTCAATCAGTCCTTTATCTTTGGTGGCAAAGATCGTAGTTAAGACTTTTCATGTAACATCTCTTTTTTTCTGCAGGTTCATAGTGCTCTTGAAGACCTCTTCAACAGTGAGCAGTGTAACAACATCACCTCACAGGTTTGGACTTTTTCTTAAAACTATTTTATTAAAAATACATGGCGTCTGTTTATTTCTGGCATTAACACCTGTCTCAGGTGATCCAAGTGGACAGCTCCAAGCACAAGTGTGAACACACTCAAACTGCATTGAGGACACACTCACACAACATTCGGAGGTGGTCTGTGACACACACGGCCACATGACTTTAGCTTTGTGAACACAAATGATTCCTGGGTCTGATTGAAGGACTCTGACCTGCTGCCGGTCAATATTCTTCAAACTTCTCTGTTTCTCATACATTATCAACATTGGTTGCCACATATTGATTTTTCATATTGATTTTTTCCTGTTTCAAATGGGTAGAATTTTATTTCATTGTAGAGCTGTGCACAGCACATTGATTTGCTCAGTCTCTCCCTGCCTGGCTCTCTCTGTGTTTCTCTCTATTTCTCTCCCACTCACACAAATACACATTGACAGTGGACTCATCTGCCATAACCAGACCGGCCAAAACCAACAGCAGATTTGGTTTCTGCAAACACCAATCATGTATGCGTTTATTTGGAGATTGATTCTAATTTTACGTGTGACCTGATCTGACTTGGGGCTACAGTTATATCACACTTTCAAATAAGTCGTAGTTCTGATTATTGCTATCTGTGCTGTGTGTTCTGTTGCTGCGTGTTTACCAGACTCCGACCTTCTGGGTGATGCTGCGAGCCGTCAAGGAGTTTGTTCACAATGAAGGAAACGGAAGCCTCCCTGTGAGGGGAACCATTCCAGACATGATCGCAGACACTCAGAAGTTTATCAACCTTCAAAATGTGTAAGTGTGGAATATGTGAATGTTTGTTGTTTAGAATTTGTCGAGAGGAACTTAAATGCAAATGAGAAGTGTTTTCCGGTCAAACAGTAGAGTTCTGTCTGTCTGTTTCTTACCATGCTTGATTTTATAATGTGGCTGTGTGAGGATCGATTGGAAGTCAGAGGTCACCGAGAACTCCACTCGATATTGATATTCATAGAATCTTAAAACGTTCACTTGGATTCAAAGATGAACTGACTGAGTTTAATGTCAAAGGTCGTGGTCACTATGATCACTCAAAACATATCAGGAATGAATGCACTACATTTCAACATTTCACACAAAGGTCTAACTATTACAAAATTATAGTGATGACATTTTATATCCCAAAAACTCCCAAAATCCATTAGTTAACATCATAAGTGAGGAGGAGAGGGATATTTTGTGACCATGTTTCTGCAGCTCAACTGTTTGTCAGAGGCAAAGAGATAATTTTAGTTTTCTGTTTAATTTCAGTTACAGGGAAAAGGCCCTGCAGGATGCAGCTGCTGTGTCTAAGCACGTAGAACGTCTGTTGCAGTCTGTTGCAAAGGTATGTTATAAAACGTTGTACTCACTAAATATGATTGTTAAAAAAATGTTGGGTAAATTTAGTGCTTAATAGTTTCTCTCGGCCTCAAAATAAATATTTGCTTAGTTGGATGAATTAGCTGTGATTTGGAAGCTCTCGATTGAATAGATCACAGCATGCACTCTAAAACTGTGATTCCTTTTTCTTTCCACCAGCCACCAGAGAGCATCTCTGACAAAGACATCAAGCTATTCTGTAAGTAAACTTTCCTTTAAATAACAATCTTTAAACACATCACATTTTATATTCACTGAGATTTAGCCACTTTATTTTCATGTCCCCAAATTTAATCTCAACTGGATTAAAGCTACACGCTGTCCATACCACAGATTGTGTTTTTTAGAGTTTTAATGTTTATTTTATCTTGAAATGAGGAATTTGGATTTCTGTTTTGTTGCGGTTCTTTCAGAACATTCTCTAATAAGATACGTCGTGGCTGGAAATTGGTTTTAAACATCTTTTTCTAGAAATAATACATCCTTTGGTTGCACTGCCTGATCTGATTATTCATGGTAATTATTACATTATCCATGTAAACATAACCACTGAGGTTCAATTTATATATGCTCTACTCTACGTGTATGTAAATATATAGGTGTAATGTGTAAATTAGAAGAGTTTTTTGGTTTTTTCCATCCTTTACTAATCTTGCCTTCATGAAGCAGTGCTGCCTTTTCTGAATACTTAGGTTTCCCTGTTCAGATTTGCGATGCTGTCACTGCTGCTCCTGGACTCAACATAACTCAGTCTAGATGCAGGAGTAACATCATCTAATTAGTGGCTAATTAAATTATTCCTAACTGTAGTCATCTGTTTTGACATCTAGGTAAGAATGCGTCCTTTCTGAGGGTGGTGCGCTGCAGATCTCTGGCTGAAGAATATAGTGTGGAGTCCGTAAATAAAGATGAAATCAGTGAGTTGGAAATTCATTTTCTGTGTAATTTAAGCTAACTCTGATAATGGTAAGCAAAGTATATGTTCACCTAACAGCCATATCTTCTTTTCGTGTGGTTTCAGCCTCATGCATGGACAGTCCAGATAGCGAGATGGTATTTTACCTGATGCTTCGTTCTGTCGATCGCTTCTATCAGCAGCACTCCCGCTACCCAGGTACAGTCACAGTTCATACATAGTATTCTTGGACCAGAATTGGACCAGACTAAAAACACCTCCATGGAACCGAGTAAAATCTGATCAAATCTGATATTTTTGTTATTTTGCACATTTCGTTTTTTTTATTTACAAGACAGAGTTGCTAAGTCATTGAAAGACTTTGCATTCAACGTTTTTATCACTTTGAATGAGATTTGCACACTTCATAGTAATTCCTCCCAATGCTGCTAACCTGCTGCTTACTAGGAGTTTACAACTACCAAGTTGAGGATGACATCAGCAAATTGAAGCTGTGTGTAAACAGCCTTCTGCAGGAGTACAGCCTCAACGTCAATATCAAAGACGACTATATCCACGAGTTGTAAGTAATGGCCACTGCTAAATTTGATATTTAGAGCAATTGTTAAAAACTGTGCCTAATAAATAATTATACAATTCCTTTTTTTCAAAACCCTGCAGCTGTCGATATGGTGCGGCAGAGCCACACACAGTTGCAGCATTTTTGGGAGGTAAAGATTTAGCACTCTTTAGAAAATCAACTGATCCCTCATTCTAATACGCAGCATATCTAACAAACAGTGCTAATAAATCCGAAATATCTATTAACCTTTGTCAATGTGTTTCTTTAGGATCTGCTGCTCAAGAGGCCATCAAGATCGTCAGCCACCAATTTGTGCCCTTTAGCAACACGTTCATTTACAACGCAATGTCACAGACCTCTGTCACCCTGAATTTGTAAATTAAGTTTTCTCACAAAAATATCAGAGAAAATAGGGTAATAATGGCATAAACGCATTTATTGTATAAACTGGCTGTAATAAATGGAAACTGGAGGTTTGATAGAGGAGAGACAGAATTGCATTTTTTATGGGATTATGACTTAAGTGTATGCACTTAAAGCTAATAACATTTCCCATTGTTACCTGCACTCTTAAGACTAAATGATCTGTTGATCGTGCATAAAACCCTGCCCTGTTTTTTGAAGTTTCTGAAGGAGAGTGAATCTGTGTTACACCCGGAGACCATCAGTGTTCAGCAAACATTAAACAAAGTTGGAAAATAAATCAGCAAATTCAAAATCTGTGTAGTGTTCACACTTTGTCAACTTGAAAACTTTACACACTCAAAGATATCATTCCCCTTAATGGAAATGATTTTGTTGATCAAGATCCATGTATTATTCCTTGGGAAATCTATCTTAACATGTTAAAGAAAGCGGAAAAAAGTGGACAAGCTGAGGTGCAAACTTAACCTCCTTGCTTGAGGTAATAACATTTACCCTTTATCCATCTGTTTCTTTTTCTATACCGAGGGTGATACATGTTTATGTGGTTAAATGTCTGCTCTGCCTACTTCTGGGCTTTCACTGTTCCCCCACCTTTCAGATACAGTCTGGGAAAACACATAGAACAAATTGTTGACTTGTTCAGTAGTTGAAACAAGGATTTCACAGTTATTTAGCAGAATAAATGTTAGCTGACAAACATGTGAGCCTGTTGATCGGCCTGTAATGTGACTCGCCCTCTGGCAGGACTCACCCGCAAACCAGGTTAAGAGGAATTTTTACTTGGAGCTGATGAAATTATTTTATCCAACACAAGAGGGCACTCTTCATGTTTTGCCCTCCATAGGTAACATATAGTGTTTTGCATACCTGTTCAGTGACCTATTCCTCAATATTGACCGTTGGACACAGACTGTGTTTGACAATTGCAGGATGTTAACAAAAGATCTTGCAGAGTCACTCATTGACCGATATGTTTCTCAATAGCTGTTTCTGAGATGCATGTAGAAGACCCTGGTGTTGGTGGTGATGATCTAACGTGCAGCACAGAGCCCTGTCAGAGAATTATGTTGTGAGGGTCATTGTGATGTAACCGTCGGGCAGGGGAAAGATTTTCATTTGTTGTCTCTTCTCAGACTTGGCAGAATGGAAATTTGCCCTCAGCAGATGTTTTTCCTTGTAAGACTCTACCCACACACCCTCAGCTCTCCCCCATTCAGATTTCTGTCCCACAGTCTCTCACAAACACACACTCATACCCTCCCGTCGGAGAGGGACGGAGTGTCTTGCCAAGGAGTCGTCTGGCCATTTCCTAAATGAAGATTTTGTCCTCTGCGTCTTAAAGATTATCATGTGTCCATCCATCCACCCACTAACTCTTCGGACTATCAGAAAGCAGTGCCAGTGTTTATCAGTCCAAACCAGACAGTGTCTTCTCTTTTTTTTGAAAAGTTAAAGACACAATCAACCAACTACAAGAAGCAGAAAAAGAAACTAATTCTGTACATAAGGTAATCAGAGGTAGAACATCTGCTGATTTTACTTGTGAACATCCACGCTCACATTATTCTTATTTTAGTTCTTGTTTTTGAGCTGTGTCAAGACTTGTAATCCAGGTTAGTGACGGCAGCCCCAAGAGAAATCATCAGTACATCTGGCAAATGGCACATTTTTGAGTCAACATAAAATTATTTTTTTTACTGTAATGAGTTGATTTGAGGTCAGACATTAGGGAGACAACTCCTTTGCTGGACCCTCATACTGATGCTGCACTCACTAACAATGATCCGATTTACATGATCTTTGGGTCATTTAGGGTTTTATAACATCAGAATCAGTAGATGTGTCTAAAATAGCATACTTAAATACATTTTATTTTGAAGTATCACGATGCATCATGTCTATAATATGTCATTCAGCACCGATGCATGTGTCATGTTTCTGAAAGCAGGGTTAGTGCTTTGTGAACATGTGGCTGCCATTTTGCACTCAGTACTCAAGAATTAGATACTGATTCATTTCAAACTCAACAATTCTTTATGTTTTTCCTCTGACTTTTCTCGTCTAGTTTACTTCATGTTGTGCCAACATATGTCTTATGTATCTGTGTCTGTCATGGAACATACACACCCTCATGGTTGCTGCATGAATGCAGGTCACAACATGGACATGTCAGGGCTCATGAAGCACACATGTACCACACAGTACATTGAGTACTTCTTCATGTTCCTCCTCAGGGTTCAAGATCTCCTGAATGAGCAGCACAGTCTGAGGCAAACTAGGGAGGTCTGGATGTGTTGAAAGATTCAATTAACAGTTTGATTCACTTCAAATCTGATAACTTAAATTTGTTGGCCACCTGGGGGCAGTGTTCTGAAAACAACACTGACATATCTATTTCTAAGTTAAGTTTTCTTAATTGTGCAGTTGTCTTGCGAATGTCCAGTGCTAACTTACTTTTTAGCTCAGATATTTCTTTATATCTGGATCCTCAGCTGATGAAAACTCCCTATGCTCATCAGCTCATCACAGACTTTTTCTTTCTGTTGTTTGTTGCAGTTAGTATGCAGTGGGTTTTTAGAGTTTTAATGCTGAAAACAGCTGCGTGCTGTGACCAAAAACCAAGTGAGAGTTAAACCAAGTGCAGAGCTGCAGGCCGGACATTACAATAATGAGCTGAAATGTAATATAAAATCCAGAGTACTGAGAGGAGCTACAGGTTTGTGAGATAATTCTCTGTAACATTTTCTTTTGATGCATAATAATTGTAAAATATCAATAATAGCCAATAAAAGGAGATATTATCTTCAACTTCTCTGCTGTTTTCACTTTCAGAGTTTAGATTCTATCTAATTTTATAAAAGGGGGAAACACTTTCACACACACATCTACTCTCTGTTGCTTCCTTGCATTATCAAGAGTTCAGTGTCCAGACCTAGCTTGGATCTGTGTTATCTTGGAGCCACAGGAGAGGCCCGACAATGGACACCAGTCTGTGTGTGTGCGTGTGTGTTTGTTCGGGGGAGCTTGGAGGAGGGGCCGGTCGTAAATGCTAAAATCAATCACTAAATCAGAAGCACAGCCTGCAGAAAGGCCACGGTGCCAACGATGACGCTCGCTGGGAGCTTCAAGCAATAAAGGATGAAGGGAGGAGGGGTGGGGTAGGGGGTGGGATTGGATGACTCAGCTTTGGGAAATGAAGGAAACTGCTAAGTAAAAGCGGCAGATTGGTTTGTCATACCACCCCACCTCCCACCCCCACCCTCAGAAAGCGAGGACTGCATGTGCCCCCTGTCACACCCTCTCACAGGATACGCGGTTGTGTTTTAAGAAAACACATCAGCAGCAAGAGGTAAAGGCACGAGGGGGTCGAGGGTGATGTCTTTCTGATGGCTCATGGCTGTTCGTTTTGAGCCGTATTCCTGGCTGCGGTCCAACTAGTTCACCTCCACATGAGGCCCAGGCTGAATTAAAGTCGGCCTCTGCCAGAGCGGAGAGGAGTGGAGTTTTCAGCATGTTTGCCGGGAGACTGCAGGAGGCCGGCATACTTTAAACCTCTCAGGGGTCTGCCGAGGGCCTCTCCATTCTTCCTACAAACAGATGGAGCTGTGACTGATGAAGGCACATGTACAATACATGCAGACTCTTGTGAGGACAAAGGGAAAAACCACAGCAACAGTTTGATCAGTCCTCATCACTATAAAACAATTCAAATGAGAGAGAGTGAAGACAATCTGTTGTGTTTATGGGGGGAGTTAATGCAATGGAATAAGTAGATCATGTGTTACCAATAAACCAAAATATGTTTCATTGTAAACTCAAGGACTTAACAGCTTGTTTAAAGCATCTGTGATTTTAACGCTCAGTCTAGTTCAAGCCAGCCAGAGTATGTGAGGGTGGGGCTGCCTCGGCTTCCAGAACCTTAATGGTTGCATGTCTTCCAGATGCATCATTAATGAGTTCATGTAACACACGGAAGCACATGACGGTCGGCCTCCAATCCGCTGGCGGAGGAGGTGCTGCGCCAAAAGTGCAAGGTGTCGGAAGACCAATCGGACGTTTGAGCACACCTCATTACATTCGGTATGAATACAGCTCAGTGTAATATACGCACGTGCAAACAGGGATGAAGAACTGAGGGGTGTGTCTGCAAATAATTCCCCCGACCCACAAAGCAAAACAAAGATTAGTTGAGTTCGAAGTTCTTGTGGAGATGCCAGTTTAGACGTAAGAGGTTCTGTTTTCATCGGTTTGTTTGTTATTTAGCAGGATTGTGGGGAAATTATTGGACGGATTTCCACCAAACTTGGGAAGGATGCGGTATGGGTCAGGGAATAAGCCATTACATTTTGTGGCAGATCCAGGAATCTTTATTTTTATTAACTTACTTAACCACTGAGACAGGGTGTTTTTTCATCGTGTGAATCTTGATGAAAAGAAACAGATTTAGGCAGTTGGTACTTTCTTTTTCAGCCAAAATCTCTAACTACCATCATTAGTTTAATGTAATGTTAGGCCTTGGCAGAGATGCACTGTGTAATTCATTTCTCAGATTACTATTAACGAAATATTCTCCTTTCCAATGATAGAAAAAGAACCACACTATATATTTTCATGTTGCACACCCGCTACTCTGGCGCTGGGGTGTCAAATTGCTAATTGTCTTGCATGCATCTGCCAACTATTCATTTGGATTCTTCTTCCATTTGCAGTCAGGCCTTCGGAGAGTCTGGACGTCTGCATCTCCAGATGGGTCAGAGGCTCAGCAACCCCCTCCTCCGAGACCTAGGTGTCACATTACACCCCTCCTAAGCACATCAGTGTACGCACAAAACACACCGTCAGGCACATTTGTACACACTGTACACACACACAGGTGATCTTTTTATATGTACCTTTAAGAGGGCCACAAAGAGAGGTGAATGAGAGTACTGTTTGTGAAAGTATGTTTGCTCATTTCTGGCATATCACTTCCGTCAGTGCATTCTGCAGGTGCCGTTCTTATCTTTGTCGTCGCTCTCTGACATTCTCCTCATCGCTCAGATCAGTCGGAAACCATGCGGCTGGAATTCCATTGTGGAGCATCGGAACAGCCTTTTTTCTCTGCGACCGCCATGTCTGTGTCCCTCCACGTCAGATACCCAGCTCCCCCCAGTGAGGTATGGACGGGTCACTTCCGTACCTCAATACATCACATCCCCTGTGAGTCCTGAGCCGAGCGGGGATGTGTCACAGCGGGAGAGGAGGAGGTTTTGAAACTGGTCCGTAAAAGGAGTTTCTGCTGATCTAATGTCT